TAAGTTACATGAGTAGATAGTCATTCTTAGTTATAGATTTAAAAATCGTTGTTAATTTAACCACGAAATACCAACACATTTTTTTCTTAATCGAAATTACAAACTGATTACCAATGTATTTTGGTGAATTTACTATTGAGCTTAGCAACCGAGTTGTTATCTGTTATATAATTGCTAACCAAATACTAACAACATTTTATTTTATTTTAGTATATTTGCCAACATATCACTAACATAATTGAATAGTGAAGAACCAAATTTACTAACTCTTTTCTCTTCGTTTGTAAACTTCCCAAAAATATGCCAACCGAAAATTGGTTGGTGAATTTACCAACGAAAATTTCAAGGGCACATTTCAACAATTACCAACAAGTCTTTTATGTGTTTACCAACTGATCTTTAGTTGGTAATTTTACCAACTAACTGAAATGGGTTGGTAAAATTTAGTGACAAGCTTTTTAGCAACAGATTAACATTAGTTGGCATTCGGTTGGAAAAATCATTTGCCAACCAATTTAATCAATTTAGCAACGAATAATTTTGTTGGCAATTCAGGGGTTTTTTGTAGTGACACGCCCAAACAGTTCCCCAACACAATCCAATAATCTCTAAAAAAACTCCAAGAGAAGCTCTCTATATTGGCCTAAGACTTTAGTCTTTTAATAAAATGCATAATGAAAAACCGGCTAATATTTTAAATAGATGCGTGGATATTATCTCTCAAAAATCATGAAGCTTTTTCCCTAAACAAGGAGGTCACAGCACTGTCCCTTCATGAATGTGGAGGGAGGCCTACAATTGTGGAGGTCACCATAGCTACACTCTGTGAACATGAAGGGCAGGTTATCCATCAATCTTTTAATGCGGCCAAGGGCCCGCGATCATGGAAAAGCGAATAGTGCTATACCAGCAGCACTGCATCAACAAAATACCAAATTCAGGAAATTCCCCGTATGGGGGATCAAAATTAGTTCGAAAACCTGTGAACGCAAACGAACTATACTACCCAATAAAAATTCATATTTCAGACTTAACGGAACTAATGAAACCACCAATGGAGATCATCTCGTCAGAATATTGACCCAAGTCAATAATTGTTAGGTAAACACAAAACAAAATGACAAATGCCACAAAATCATTGCAAACATGTCACGCCTCGAGCCTACCCCTAGACGCAACACAACGGTTAGTGTCACAAGTGACTTCAAGCTAACCATGGTATGACATATCTATACAAGTTCATATAAAATATGCACTGTGCAGAATCTAAAAAAAGCAATGTAATATCCAAAAAGTGGAAAAGCCCAACATGTCTAAATGTATAAAATATATGGAGAGTATTGATGAGTCAGGGATTTCAAATTATTTAGGGTTTACTATCTAGGGTTTTAGTGTCCTCAATGCCTATTTTATGCTCTAAACTGATGTTAAAATGCTAATTTGCAGCAATGAAGTCAAAAGAGCAGGGCAAGGAGATTACCGGGTAAGAAGGAGCAAAAAAGCTGAAGAAAATCAAGATTGATGATCGCCAAAATCACTCGACGAGTCGTCGAGTGGCTCTTCAGCTCGCAAAAAGATCCAGAAGGCCAGCCAAGCGGAAAAGCCAACTCGGCAATGGAATGGTGTAATTCGGCGAAGTGCCAAATACATTAGCGATGGTAATTTTTATCGCCTAAAGATATAGCAAGGAAGTGATGAAGAGTCAAGCCAAGAAGGCAATGGATAGGAGCATTTGGCACGTCGCCGACTTGGTCGGTGACGGTTGACTTATTCCACCGAATGGCTCCGAAATTAAAAATCAAGGAACGTATAAATGGAATTTTGAAAAGAATAAAAGGAGTTCCCTCACATTCTAACTCTGGGTTTTTGATCTAAAACACCCTGAACATTGTTTTTAGTCTTTTTGAGTAGGAATTTAGGTTGGCTTTTGATTCTTAACTGATTTTGATCATTGTGAAGAGTTGTAATTTGTTACCCAAGCTGATGGAGAACATAGTTGGTAACATTTTCTTGCTATTTATGATGTTTGGCTAAAAACCCCATTCTTGGGGGTGTGATAATGTCATTGAATGTTTGAATTATCTTATGGGTGTAAGTATTTACTGATTTAATTGTTGATTTGAAGTGGGTTCAATTGATAGTTGAGTTTTAATTGATGAATTATAGTTGCAAATACAGTTCTAGTTTAGCATTCTAGGCTTGCTTGAGAAAATGGTTTTAGAATTAAAACTAATAATTTATGATTGTAGTGATTGGGTTATTGTGGAATCAGCTTGAGAAAGTGGATCTGAATTTAATCCTACCAATCTAGCTCGAAAGAGTAGATTAATTGAGGTTTTGGGTTGTTCATGTTTGTTGGGCTTGTCGAGGTTTGAGAGAACTCACTAAATTCATGATAGTTGATCGAGAGATGGCTATTACATTTAAAGTCTAGCCTACCCACTAAGGTTCAACGAGTTTTATTAAATATTAACCACCCATTTAGTGAAAAATTGGTGTCAAATCGATCACATCCCCAAGGACCCCTCTCTACTTAATTACTCTCATACTTTCGTATTTGTTAATTTCTCACTCTAATACCCCAATTAACACTAGTTGTCAAACCCCATCCATTTACTTTAATTGTTCCGAAAATATCTACTTTTACAAACAATTAAAATACTTTTTTCACTTCGTAATTGAATTCTCTACCGTATCACTCCTTGTGGCATTTACCCCAACTCTTAGTTGGGTTTATACTTGATTACAACCACATACACTAAGAATTAGATGATGTGTAGTTGAGCATTATCAAAAATGGCACTGCTGCCGGGGAGTAGTGCTTAGAATTCTTTGAGTGAAGTTTAATTGTGAACTAATCTTGTTATAGTTGGATCAACTCATTTTTTTGTGTGTCGTTGGCTGCTCTTAAACAGGTGACGGGATGAGTGTAAACGGGAGCAATGCTAGTCAAATTGGACACAATGATGACATCGATAACTTGCATTATGTCAATGAAGCTCAGCTAGAAAGTGCGGGTGCTATTATGTTGCCTTTGGTTGTGGGCAATGTGGTATTTCACGTGACTAGTACTATGGTGGAGCTTTTGCAACTGAAGGGTTTATTTGGAGGGCTGGCTCGTGAGGATTCCCATGACCACATACGGAACTTTATAGATATGTGTGGTCCATTTTCCTTCAAGAATATCACTCAGGAGTTAGGCCGACTTTGTTTGTTCCCTTTTTCTCTTATGGTGGAGGAAACAAAGTGGTTAGCCAACCTACCAAGGGACTCAATTACTTCTTGGGAAGAGCTCACTGATACGTTATATATAAGGTTTTCCCTTCCTTTGAGTATGATGGCATTGAGATATAAGATTTAGAACTTCAAATGATTGGATGGTAAATCATGAGACATGGTTGAGGTTTTAAAAGTTGTTCCAATGTCCAACGCATGGGCTCCCAAACAATG